TGTTCAGATGTGAGAAACCCTAACATCGACAAATAAGAACTATAATGTGCTAACCTCCAGCTTCATATGGGGATGCGATTCAGAGAAAAATGCAATTAATCAGTCAAGATGGAAACCGAAAGCAGAAGAAACGAGAGCAAAAACAAAGAAATCAGAGGAAAACGAAACCGAATGTGCAAGAAACGAAAGGAACATGGAAGAATGATACCAACGGTTACATTTTAAATCCAGTGGTAAAAAAGTAATTTCACATCCCGCCCGTGGTTTGATAATTCCCGGCTGGATAAATGCCATTGCCCACCACGGTCAAACCCCGCCCATTAAAGACATTTTCAACTACCTCACTCGGGGTACATTTCAACAACGGCCGAGAATTTAGTAACTTCATCGTCAGTACTCCCTTCATGCTTCTTGTGTCAAAAGTGAAGGAAATATTCATCTTTGCACACTCTCTAAACTGTCAGCAAAAAGTAAATTAGGTTGAAACAGTTAAAAATTTGATTTTGGGTCATTTGAGCAAATCAAAAACTATTTTGAGTCAAATCGGTCAATTTCCCTGTTTACTGGTCTTTAAAATTATATATTGATAACTATTTATTTATTTGGAAATATTTTATGAAAAAGTCATTTAATAAAATTTCCCTAAACAATTTAGAAACAATTGACAACCAAAAAATTGCTCCATTAACTCTGCCCAATTCACTCTGCGAGATAAGACGCTCGCTCCACTGTTTCTTTTCGACCCCAAAAGAGAAATCCCGAAACCAAGTTTTTGCAGGTACAGCTTCACTAACTCTTGCTTTCATGCATTCTGATTCATTTCTGTAGTGTTCATCGCCTCTCATCTCCGCTCTAGAGCCCTTCTTCCTTCTGGATGAATCATCCCCATTTTGCGGGAGGCCAATTTCTTGATAATACTTGGTACCCAATTCACAGAGCGTTGAATTAAGAAAAATCTGATGTCGGTTTACCGTGGAACCTCAATTGGTTTTGACACCCTCGTGCCAAAGGCAAGCCACGAAACCTTGAACTTTCGTCGATTTTCGTTTTTACAATTTCTCAGTGATTAATCGGACAATTTCCCCCTTTTGCTTTCAGAAAGATTGCATTTGCAATTTCAACAAATTGACATTTAGAGCCGCTAGTTTCAAGTGTTCCCACAACCAAGCCGTGCAGCCGTTTACTAGTTCCCCCACAATTGAGAGGTTCTCTTTTTTCTTTTCTATTCTTGGTTTCTGGGTTTCCTTTAAATTGACCCCAGAATTTTGATTTTAGTGTTCTTTGCTTAAATGTAGGCGTATTGTGAAGAAGGTTGGGAAGGAGGCGCATCATTTATGGAAGAAAAGAGATTCTGCTGGCTCTGGGCAAAAGGCCCTTAATCTTGTTAGAATTGTATGTTGCATTTTGTATAATTTTCTTTCTAATTGCCCTTCCAATATTGAGATGAAAGCATGGAAATGCCAAGTGATTTCATATTAATTGATTTCCTTAACATATTGTGATATTCCTCCTCTTTGTCCTTTACTGTCAGGTCTCCCAATGTCCTAATGAAAAAGAAGCTGTCTATGGAGCGTTAAATAAGTGGATAGCTTGGGAGACAGAGTTTCCGTTGATTGCGGCTGCTAAAGCTTTAAGAATACTGAGGAAGAGAAGTCAATGGAAGCGAGTCATTCAAGTATGAATCAATGTTTTACTCATTGTCTTTTGAGCCTTTGGCATATTGGTATATCGCTCATTATGAATTCTCATCGATAGACATTTTAGGTTTTGATTCTAAACTATGAAGTTGTGCCTATTAAGATTAAATCTTCTCCAGCTCTTATAGCTATTACTTTGCTTATTGTTTTTGTCAGCTAACCTACTCGTGTGCTAGATTTTTATTGTAATGTGGCATTGGCTTGATTGGTTGTGGTGTTTTCAGTTCTTATTATTGAAGTTTTGATCTTGAACCTTGCTCATCTGGACTTTCTTATGGTTAAAATATGACTGGAGGAAAATTACTTATAGACAGATAACCACTTCAGATTTGGTTGGTATATCAAATTGTCTAATTCTTGTTTAAGGTTTAGCTTTATGGACAAAGAATTGATGGTTGTCAGTTCCAGAATTTTGAATTATGAAACAATAGCGATTTCTTGTCTGAGAAAAATGTTTGTCGAACTATAATACCACCGAGACTGGCTATGGTGTTGGAAGCCACAATGTTGAACTTGCTCATTACTTATGTTTTTGACATGTAAAAAGATTATCTTAAAAAAATTGTAGAAGAAGAAGAGCTGTTGTCTTTTGCCAATGTAAATTCCTCAGAGTCCATTTTCCATAGTAAATCTTGGGCTATTCATGGTAGTTTCTGTATACAATATTTTATAGTGGCCTTTTGCCTTCCACTAGGAAACTGATAAGTTATGGCCTTTTTGCGAAGTGTCTTGGCTTGATGAGGGTCTGTTCAATGGCCGAACATTGTTTCTTCCACCGCGTCCTATTGTTAATTGATGTTTCTTATTACCCAGGTGGCGAAGTGGATGTTAAGCAAGGGTCAAGGAGCCACAATGGGAACATATGACTCCCTTTTACTGGCATTCGATATGGACAAGAGGGTGGACGAAGCCGAATCCTTATGGAACATGATTTTGCATACGCATACACGTTCCATCTCTAAGCAGTTATTTTCTAGGATGATCTCTTTGTACGATCATCATGACTTGCAAGATAAGGTTATCGAGGTATCGATAATGGAGACCCCACGTATTGGCATCGCTTGTGCTCTTATTTTCTAGTCTTACACCCCCTACACCTGTGTTTTCTGCAATCTTCTCCTCTTCATATCCTCATCAATGATCTTGTGCTTCAATTTCTTCTTTCTCTTGATACAGATATTTGCAGACATGGAGGAGTTAGGTGTAAAACCAGATGAAGATACTGTTAGAAGAGTCGCACGTGCCTTTCAGAAATTAGGTCAAGAAGAAAACCGCAAAATGGTCCATAAAAGATATGGCTGCAAATGGAAATATATACACTTTAAAGGTGAGAGGGTTAGAGTGAAAAGAGATGGATGGGATGAAGATGATGAAAGATGAATCGAACTGAAAAAAAAAGAAGAGATTTGTTATTGAAACTACTGAAGAAGCAGAGATGGCTGAACTCTAGCATGGACAAGTTCATGAGGTACATATCTATCGGTCCCGATTATATGCATTTAAGCAAGCTGGAACCTAGATTTTCAGTCTTATTTTTCTCCTCTACGCTACAGAGATAATACAAACATTGTAAGATTTAAATAGGTAGGAAATGAAAACAGAAAATAGTGTATATGAAGTTGTTTTCTGGAAGCTTGATTCTCTTTCAGGCTTCGAGGTAGGAAACGAAACAGCAAACGGGGTCTGAAACAAGTAGATGTTCATGGGGGACGAACGACCCATTTGTCGAACTTGGATAAGATATGGTGTGCAGGTTGAGTATATTTCACATCAAGCTTGAAATCTTCAAACTGAAGCACCATCAAGTGTGGACAAAGCTTTTGATCAAATCAGTGGTAGAATTATGTAAAAAGAAAAGTGGACAGAAAGTTTGATACAAGATGGGATTTGAACAATCCATCCCAACAAACAAAAAAAGAAAGTGATCTTAAATAATTGAGAACCAGTATTTTAATAAATGTGAAGATCCAATCCATGGCATCAGAATTCAAACAGAAGTGGAGATCCAGACCCAGCTGGATGAGGATGCCATTCCTGTCAAGTACAGAGGACAGTCCCATCGCTCCAACAAAAAACTATTCATAAAACGTACCATATGGGCATGCCCATGCTTCCACCACGTRTGTATGCTGATCTGTAAACTTTTAATATTAGTATTTGTTCTATTTTAGTGTAAGCTTTCTAAATGTCTATTATTTTAGTTTCTGTTATTTTAATTTTAACAAATTAATAACATGGTTTCATGTATTTGTACCAAAATGTTATCGTTAACCTGTATCTAAACTACATAAGTTGAAATTAAATATTGGGCAAGCCAATTTTAGGTGGAAAAATATTCTAATATTTTTTTTTTAGTATAAATAGAGACGGGGATTTGAACTTATGACTTCATAATTAGAAATATGTATCAATTACTATGAAATTAAGCTCAATCAAAATAGGATTTAGATTATATATAGGTACATTTATATACTTACCAGATCAATATAATCCTTTAGACTGTATCTAGATGAGTGTTATGTTCGAATTTTACCTTATGGTAAAATGAGTCTAATCTATCATATCTCACTAAAATATTGGGGAGAGAGAAAAAAGTTAGTTTTTTTTCTTCTCATGATCGGTTTAGTATAGAAATTTTGGAAATAACAAAAACAGGTTTCTTCTTCTTCCCATTTCTAATTTTGTTCGAAAACATAAATAAAAATAGTCATACTTGAATTCATAAATGTTTGAGCCATACAATTTATTTTTCTTTATTAAAAATGAAGAAACGGGAATAAGAAACAAAAACGTTACCGAACGAGTCTTTAATGCTTTTTTTTTTTTACTACATTCTTAATGTCTGTCTTGTTAGGGCTTAATTTCAAAGAGTTTTCTTACGTTGCTTTTTTTTTTTTTTTTTTGTTGAAACTGATGGGTTTAGAAGTGAAACTTTTTCCCAAGCACTTATAGTTGATGAACAATTCAAAATGACAACAAAAATTTGAAAAGTACAACAACTTTGCTTCTACTCATAAATTAACAAAGAATTTATTTAATATTAGTAGGGTCTGTAGCTATGTATTTCTATTAAGAAACCCACAAAAATTATTACAGTTCCATCTTTCCCTAAAACTCCCCTTTCTATAAATCTCTCCCTTTTCTCTTTCTTTCCCCTCTTTCTGATGAATGAACACCGCATTCTTACTCTGTTCTTCATCTATAAAAATCTAACTGGTTACTAAAACCTGCAAACAAATCCTTTTTTTCTTCTTAAATTACAACCCTTAAATTCATTTTTTTATTGTTTCCTAACCCTAAAGAACACTTCAATCTTAAAAAAAAAAAGCACTTTTTTTCCCAATCATAAACCACCTTCAGTAGTGTTGTTTCAGTATGTCCACTCCTGAGGAAGGAGAAACTCGTGGCTTTTTCCTCTCTCCGCCGGCCGGGAATAAATTAACCTCTGCTGCGCGAAAATGGCGTTTCTTTGGGCCATTAAAGCTTCTGCAGAAACCAGAATTTAGAACTCGTTAGAGCAAAATGCTGTTAAACAGATCTCATAGATTTGCGAGTGTTTTCAATCAGCTCACCGTAGCTCGGCGGGAGGCGGCGATTCGACGTCGTTTGGGGAGCAGATCGGTTCGGAACCTGAACTTTCATCCCCTGAAACAGGGGAATCGAGGCGCTATCTGAAGAAATAGACCAACAATTCATAAGATTTAAGTTCAAATTCGAGAAACCCAGATTCCAATTTGTGAAAAATAAACGAAAAAGTACCTGGTCTTTTACGGGATTGAGGGGGGTTGTCGTATCGGCGAGGCAAGAAGACGCCTGTTCCGGCGCACTCCTTTTTGGGGGCAGATCCGCCGCCGTGGAAGGCGGGGGGCATGGTTGGAGCACACGTCTGAGGAGGGTTTCTCCGGTGAGGGGGTTGCAGCGAAGGCCATGTGGATTGGGGAAAATCTACAGGACGAAGAAATCTCCCATTTTCGTGGTGAAAATCGCCGCCTCGGCGCTGGATCTGCTGATTCTCAACCTTCACTTGCCTTCCCCAGTTAAAACAGCTCTGAAACTCTGTTCCGAACTGAAACAGGGTAAAAAACAGAGTAAATAATTTCAGATCGAAGAATAGAGTAAACAGAGAGAAGAAAAGAAGCTAATTTACAGTACCGGTGAAGCTTGGGAGTGGAATCCAGCTCCGATAAGGTGTTTTTGGATGGGGGGAACAAGATCTGAAGAACTCTGGGGAGGAGCAATAAGTCCTTCTCCGTTCAATTTGAGCCTCGCAACTTGCCCTGCAGCGGCATAGATGAGATCCCATGTGTTATTCTCGCCACCGAAAGGGGTGGTCGGAGGCGACGGCGCCTGAGACGGGCCGCTTGGACTTCCGTCACTCGCCGACCAACTGCCAAACCCACTTAGAGTAGACTGCGGAGATCCAGCCAAGGCCGCCTTCGCCTGCAAAAGAACGAAACAGAGCCGCCGCCGGAAAATCAGACAAAGAAGAAGCAAAAACAGAGTGGAAGAGAAGAAAACAAAAGATGGGTACCTCGGATTTGGATTGGTTATGTGAAAGTGGAGGAACAGCAATAAGCCTTTGAGAATCACGAAGCGTGGACTGAGTAAGCCGCTGAGTCAACGCGGCGAGGAAATCCTCCTCGTCGTCGTCGTCCTCCCTGTCGTCGTCGGTGGAGAGTGATTCGAGCGGCGAATCGAGGGCGGAGGAGGCGAAGTCGTAAGGAAAGGCCGCGGCGGTGGTGGGTTTTCCGGCAAGGTTGTCGTGGTCGGACAAGAAGTGGGGGGGAAGCCAGAAGCGGGCCTGGTCGAGGGATTCTCCGGCCATGGAGTAGAGAGAGAAGGGAGAATTTTGTTGGGTATGAAGAAGAAGAAGAAGAAGAAGAAGAAGCAGAAGGTGGAGTTGGAGTTGGAGTTGGGAGTTGCAGAGGAAGGGGATTTTAATAATGGAGGAGTTGAAATTGCTGTGATTTGAAGGATGAAAGGGCCCAACAAAGGCAGAGGAGAGAGAGTAGAGAATGTTGTTGATGACAGACAGGGTTGCTTTTTATTAAGGTTTCAGGGTTACTTTGAGACAGTTCAAAAACAAGAGAGAGAAGAGAGAGCACAGAGTTTCCAAACAAGAGGAATAATTGAACAGTTCTGGGAGACATTTGTCTTTTCATGCAAACTAACTGCCATTTGTCCATTTTCTACGCACTTCTCAAATTTTTACTCTCGACTCTCAACCATTCTAATTTGACGCACCGCAGCCACTACTTCTCCTCTTTTTATGCAATTATGAACTCCACGGAATTTTATCAATTCCAACGTAATTTATCCTTTTGGAGCCCTTTACCACATCATGGGGGTTTACAGGAGATCCCAGAGGCTCGCTCGGAAAGGCTGCTATACCATACCTTTTGACTCAACTCGACCCCATAAATGCAGCCTTCGAGGACGTGTACAAGAAGGTCTTTGCCATGTGGAGATACAGATTTTGTAGTCGGATCAATGCACCTCAACCTCTGCTGAAATGGAGGCTCTAAAGAAGAACGACACTTGGGAACTGATCACGTTACCAAGAGGCAAACGTACGATCAGTGACCGGGAAGTCCGCTTCAGTCGCAATCGAAGGTGAAAGCGGGAAAAAGACGACGAAACCCTTTTTTCTTTCTTTGTCAGCCGACTTGAGATAGTTCTGTGTTTAGAATATTTACTAGGAATACAGTCGTGGTATGGAGTGTTGCATCTAATGAGGGGAATCAACTACAAGGTCTCTACTCCCTAACTTTTAATCATTCTTACAATTAATATTGTCTCGTCTTGAAGATGACCACCTCTAAAACATTTCTGCTAACATGCAAGTCGACGATAAGAAGAGATTAGTCTCTTCAAAGTTTACCTTAATAAGACATAGGAGTGTAGCTCAACTGTTAAATATTGTTTCAATCTATACATCGTGAGTCAATACAATACCAACCAACTTCTCTCATAAGAAAAGGTTCAAACTCCCACCGCCCATAGTACCTTTTCTATTTGAACTCAAAAAATAAAAAAGGAAAGTTAAAAGCACTAGTAACATCAACATGTTTTATTGGACCCTCAAAATTGTAATGTTATATTTTTTTTCCTTAAAAAAGAAATCAGTATTTACTCCAAACTTGTAAATGTGTATCAATGTAAAGATTACAACACTTATCTTAAACTTTTAATTTGATCAATTCACACCTCATCTTAAATAAGTATTGTAATATTTATCTTAAACTTGAAGAAATATTACTATTTTTATCTTCTAATAAATTTTTATGTGAAGAATCGTTAAGAAAAAAGTATTTTCATATGCGTTCAATGAATTATTAAAATAGATGTCTAATACAAAAGTGATACATTTTTTTTAAAAAAAATGATATTATAGATGAGTTTTGGCCAAGTTATTTAATTATCTAATTTGGGCATTAATTAAACTTAATTGTGTATGAAACTTGATTTTATTGAAATTTGTGAATTTTAGAAATATTTTTAACTCTTTCGTGGTTGTTCAAGTTTGTGAGTAAATTAAAAGAAATTGATTAAAGGATAAAAATTGCAACACTTTACAACCAACTTAATTTAATACAATACAACTTAATTTAAGAGTAAAAATTGATTTTTTGTTCCTAAAGAAAAAATCATAAAACCAAATTCATGAAAAATATTTATCCATCTATTGTGTTTGTTTGTTTTTTTTTATTTTTTTAGAACACTTAAAGTTTTAGCTTAAAAGGAGTTTATGAAAACTACTTCTCTTTAATTTTCAAAATAAGGTTAGTATCTTGTTTCATAGTAGATGGTAAAACAATATATATTTATAAATAAACGTGACTTTTAAAAACAATAAATTAAAAGCAAAACATTATCAGCCCATTTTTTTAAAACTATTTATGCAAATGCTTAGCTATTATTTTGATCCAAAATATTTTACATTTGTTTAGGTTGCATTCTGTAACATCCTAGATCCAGGATTCAAATCGAGATTTAAAATTCAGATTTAGCTTTGCTGCCCTACCATTCCTCTACATTCCAATATTGCTTCTTAAGAAAGTCTCGTAGGAGGTCATTCGACCCAATATTATTCCAAACTAAGTACACTTAATTTTGTAGTTCTTAGGCTTGAGCTACCAAAAAATGTGCARTGTAGATAGTGAGTGACTATCAATTCTTTTAAGTCTTTCTTAACCATGTTTCTATGATCTCAAGGATCCCTTTCATTCGAATGTGGTATCGTTCATTCATGTCCCCCCTTACTACTCGAGCGTCACACATTCTATAACTTAAAATATTATATTTCACCTTTAAACTCCATACAAAAGTGTATTTTGATCTCTCATTTGAATTTTCATAATGCATTTCACATACAAATATTTTCATCATGTCATGAGAATATTTATTTAAGGACACACATAGCTTTAAATTGGAAAATAGATAACCTCGTATTTGTATTAAAATCGATATAAAAACCTTAACCATAATAGATTTTATAGAAGTGAAAGTATAACAACCAGAATAAATTAGGTTCAAACATTGAGGATAAAATAGTATTTTAATCAAATGTGTTTAACTATCTTATATTTAATATTATTTTTAAAAAAATATCAATTCTTTTAAATTCAAAACATTTACATAAATTAGATATATGTTTTTTTATCATATTATTTTACCAACATGAACTACACAAAGCAATGGTGATAAATTAATGAATGAAAATCACAAAATAATACTAATAATAATCATCATCATCGACCACCATGTTGATTTAATTAGTACTTAAAAAAATAGACTTGTCTTTGTAACTTGTAAGATTTAATTATTTATTATCTTGCGCTTGCAAATTCCACGTCATCAATACAAGTATTTTATTTTATTTTATTATTTATTTTTGTTATTTTGACCATTTATATTTTTTTTTAGAAAAAAATCAATAAAGTCTACATGACGATAATTACAAGAATCTCTTAATATTGTGTCTTCATCGTTGATTTAGCAAATTTCAGCGTTTTGTGAGTTAAATTCTTTTTATTGGCATTTCTTCATGTCTTTATCTAATTCCCTTTTGATACGCCTAGTTTTAACAGAGAAAAAATAAAATCAAATCAACAATTAGCTTCAAATATAATTTGAGGAAATTGAAAATTGATACCCTTTTTTAAAAAATTTGATTTCTATCGTCAGTTGATTTTCCATGCAACTTCTATTATGCTATTTACTATGTTGCAAATTACCTTGAAAATTTAAAATACATCTAATATGGCTAAATATAAATTCCATGAACTAGTATAAGTAGTTAAACATCCCAACATAATATTAGTCCTTCAACTCTTAACTCTTATAACATTTTAGTCTAATTTATACATTTATAGTTTTTATAGTACTAGACACGTACGTAATGATTAAGTCTATAGAATTTAAATCTTCAATAAAAACTCAGTTAAAAACAACTTATGCATAAAATACGGGCAAGTGAAATAAAAAAAAATGTCTCAATTATCTACTTGTTTATATACTTCAACTCTAACCAAGAAAAAAAAAATTGCCGTCATGAACCTAGTTCAATTAATAGTAAAGATCATATCATTCATTTATGGATATTGGAGGTTCAAAATCCCTGCACTCCACAAAATTTTTAACACGAAACTCGACTGCTATAGAAAAATGTTATATAAGATCAAAATATTAAAAAAGTTAAAAGGATTGGTTTTATCAAAATGATAAAAGAATATATATATATATATATGTGAGAAAAGAATCAAAAGGGTTCATATTTATAAAGAAAAGTACAATAAATTATGTTATAGTAAAAAAGAAAAAGTATAAGAAATATTGGTCGTTTGGTTTGAACTTGATGCGATGGTAATTTAGCCAATGAAACCCTAAACTTTGATTTTGGTCAAATCTTGAACGAACGCAGCCTTTAATTATTCCTCTTTGTGTCACTAATTAAAGTTAGACATAATCATTCCAATTCTCTCTGTTACTTTTTTTAATTAATTTAATTCTTTTTTTTTTGTTAGAAGATTAATTTAATTCTTTTGCCACATATTAATTTATCCTCTTTATATTCTCTTTCAAACATTAAGAATGATTAAGTTCAATAATGAGAAAAGATTTATTAGCCGCAATCATCTCCTTATCCACTCCACAACTTTTTCTTCCATAAATTTCAACTTATTCTTTTTTTTAGATTAATTTGTGGAGGAAGATGGTTTGAATTCATATGAATCTCTATTCTTTTTCTTTTCCTTTCTTTAATGGATATAGAGTGGTAACTAAGATTTTGTTAAGAAGATTGATTTCAAAATATTTTTACCTTCTAACGTTAGAATATCATTGAAAACATAAACCTTCTGATTTCTTGTTTCTTCTAGTTTGTTATTCACTAATGATATAACTCTATCAACAACTGAATCTATTTATTTTAAAAAATTTGTAAGCCTACCACCTTTCTTTTTCAAGGTTTGAGTTATTTTAAGGCTGACATTACACATCACCTTAAATTTACCAGTAATAGTGACAATTCACATGGTCATATTTACACATATAAGAACAGGATTTATGATTTTTCAAATATGATCATTTTTTTAAGTATATTGTGCGTCTATTTTTGACATTTTTACATAATCTCTTTTTATCGTCATATATCATTCATATACGTTTATCAACCTATCAATGATGTCTATCTTTTATTTTAGTCTTATGTAGTCTATTTGCCTATCACTTATATATTCCATTAGTGATAGAGGTTGGTCTACCAATAGTAATAAACATTCATCATTAGTATAGTCTATCAGATGTACGTCTATCATTGATATAGTTTATGTTATGGGAAGAGAAAAGGAGAACGGACCAAGCGACGGGGGCCGAAGGAAACACGAGAGAAAGAACGAACCAGGAAAGGGGGGCCTGTGCCCGACGACCCAAGCCGGCCCCCGGTCGACCCGTGCTTAGCCTCGAGCAGTGCTTGGCGTCGAGACCAGTTCTCAGCCCCCCGGCCTAGAATTGTAGTGGTTCATCCCGACCGTTTTGCAATCTCACCTGAATTGTCCTGCCTTGATTCTCGATTAGACCTAAAGCCCACAACGAAGTGAGCGGCCCTAGATGTATCAGGATTTGACTGGGGTAAACCCTAAAGAGATGAGAATTCGACTTCTATAAATAGAAGGGTGA